AGGACTGGACATTTGGACATGGGACTGGACATTTGGCACATGGGACTGGACATTTGGACATGGGACTAGACATTTGGACATGGGACTGGACATTTGGCACATGGGACTGGACATTTGGCACATGGGACTAGACATTTGGACATGGGACTGGACATTTGGCACATGGGACTGGACATTTGGACATGGGACTGGACATTTGGCACATGGGACTGGACATTTGGACATGGGACTAGACATTTGGACATGGGACTAGACATTTGGACATGGGACTGGACATTTGGACATGGGACTGGACATTTGGACATGGGACTGGACATTTGGCACATGGGACTAGACATTTGGACATGGGACTGGACATTTGGCACATGGGACTAGACATTTGGACATGGGACTGGACATTTGGCACATGGGACTGGACATTTGGCACATGGGACTAGACATTTGGACATGGGACTGGACATTTGGCACATGGGACTGGACATTTGGACATGGGACTGGACATTTGGCACATGGGACTGGACATTTGGACATGTTAGTGGACATTTGGCACATGGGACTGGACATTTGGACATGGGACTGGACATTTGGCACATGGGACTGGACATTTGGACATGGGACTGGACATTTGGCACATGGGACTGGACATTTGGCACATGGGACTGGACATTTGACACATGGGACTAGACATTTGGCACATGGGACTGGACATTTGGACATGGGACTAGACATTTGGCACATGGGACTGGACATTTGACACATGGGACTAGACATTTGGCACATGGGACTGGACATTTGGACATGGGACTAGACATTTGGCACATGGGACTGGACATTTGGCACATGGGAATGGACATTTGGCACATGGGACTGGACATTTGGACATGGGACTGGACATTTGGACATGGGACTGGACATTTGGCACATGGGACTGGACATTTGGACATGGGACTGGACATTTGGCACATGGGACTAGACATTTGGACATGGGACTGGACATTTGGCACATGGGACTGGACATTTGGCACATGGGACTGGACATTTGGCACATGGGACTGGACATTTGGCACATGGGACTGGACATTTGGACATGGGACTAGACATTTGGACATGGGACTGGACATTTGGCACATGGGACTAGACATTTGGCACATGGGACTAGACATTTGGACATGGGACTGGACATTTGGCACATGGGACTGGACATTTGGCACATGGGACTGGACATTTGGCACATGGGACTGGACATTTGGCACATGGGACTGGACATTTGGTACATGGGACTGGACATTTGGCACATGGGACTGGACATTTGGACATGGGACTAGACATTTGGACATGGGACTAGACATTTGGACATGGGACTGGACATTTGGCACATGGGACTGGACATTTGGCACATAGGACTGGACATTTGGACATGGGACTGGACATTTGGACATGGGACTGGACATTTGGCACATGGGACTGGACATTTGGCACATGGGACTAGACATTTGGACATGATAGTGGACATTTGGCACATAGGACTGGACATTTGGCACATGGGACTGGACATTTGGCACATGGGACTAGACATTTGGACATGGGACTAGACATTTGGCACAAGGGACTGGACATTTGGACATGGGACTGGACATTTGGCACATGGGACTGGACATTTGGACATGGGACTGGACATTTGGCACATGGGACTAGACATTTGGACATGGGACTGGACATTTGGCACATGGGACTAGACATTTGGACATGGGACTGGACATTTGGACATGGGACTGGACATTTGGACATGGGACTGGACATTTGGCACATGGGACTAGACATTTGGACATGGGACTGGACATTTGGCACATGGGACTAGACATTTGGACATGGGACTGGACATTTGGCACATGGGACTGGACATTTGGCACATGGGACTAGACATTTGGACATGGGACTGGACATTTGGCACATGGGACTGGACATTTGGACATGGGACTGGACATTTGGCACATGGGACTGGACATTTGGACATGATAGTGGACATTTGGCACATGGGACTGGACATTTGGCACATGGGACTGGACATTTGGCACATGGGACTGGACATTTGGACATGGGACTGGACATTTGGCACATGGGACTGGACATTTGGACATGATAGTGGACATTTGGCACATGGGACTGGACATTTGAACATGGGACTGGACATTTGGCACATGGGACTGGACATTTGGCACATGGGACTGGACATTTGGCACATGGGACTAGACATTTGGCACATGGGACTGGACATTTGGACATGGGACTGGACATTTGGCACATGGGACTGGACATTTGGACATGATAGTGGACATTTGGCACATGGGACTGGACATTTGGCACATGGGACTAGACATTTGGCACATGGGACTGGACATTTGGCACATGGGACTGGACATTTGGCACATGGGACTGGACATTTGGACATGGGACTGGACATTTGGCACATGGGACTGGACATTTGGCACATGGGACTGGACATTTGGACATGGGACTAGACATTTGGCACATGGGACTGGACATTTGGCACATGGGACTGGACATTTGGACATGGGACTAGACATTTGGACATGGGACTGGACATTTGGACATGGGACTGGACATTTGGACATGGGACTGGACATTTGGCACATGGGACTAGACATTTGGCACATGGGACTGGACATTTGGCACATGGGACTGGACATTTGGACATGGGACTAGACATTTGGACATGGGACTGGACATTTGGCACATGGGACTGGACATTTGGACATGGGACTAGACATTTGGCACATGGGACTGGACATTTGGACATGATAGTGGACATTTGGCACATGGGACTGGACATTTGGCACATGGGACTGGACATTTGGACATGGGACTGGACATTTGGACATGGGACTGGACATTTGGCACATAGGACTGGACATTTGGACATGGGACTGGACATTTGGCACATGGGACTGGACATTTGGACATGGGACTAGACATTTGGACATGGGACTGGACATTTGGCACATGGGACTGGACATTTGGCACATAGGACTGGACATTTGGACATGGGACTGGACATTTGGACATGGGACTGGACATTTGGCACATGGGACTGGACATTTGGACATGGGACTAGACATTTGGCACATGGGACTGGACATTTGGACATGATAGTGGACATTTGGCACATGGGACTGGACATTTGGCACATGGGACTGGACATTTGGACATGGGACTGGACATTTGGACATGGGACTGGACATTTGGCACATAGGACTGGACATTTGGACATGGGACTGGACATTTGGCACATGGGACTGGACATTTGGACATGGGACTAGACATTTGGACATGGGACTGGACATTTGGCACATGGGACTGGACATTTGGCACATAGGACTGGACATTTGGACATGGGACTGGACATTTGGACATGGGACTGGACATTTGGACATGGGACTGGACAATTGGCACATGGGACTGGACATTTGGACATGGGACTGGACATTTGGCACATGGGACTAGACATTTGGCACATAGGACTGGACATTTGGCACATGGGACTAGACATTTGGACATGGGACTGGACATTTGGACATGGGACTGGACATTTGGACATGATAGTGGACATTTGGCACATGGGACTGGACATTTGGCACATAGGACTAGACATTTGGACATGGGACTGGACATTTGGCACATGGGACTGGACATTTGGCACATAGGACTGGACATTTGGACATGGGACTGGACATTTGGCACATGGGACTGGACATTTGGACATGGGACTAGACATTTGGACATGGGACTGGACATTTGGCACATGGGACTGGACATTTGGCACATAGGACTGGACATTTGGACATGGGACTGGACATTTGGACATGGGACTGGACACTTGGACATGGGACTGGACAATTGGCACATGGGACTGGACATTTGGACATGGGACTGGACATTTGGCACATGGGACTAGACATTTGGCACATGGGACTGGACATTTGGCACATGGGACTGGACATTTGGACATGGGACTAGACATTTGGACATGGGACTGGACATTTGGCACATGGGACTGGACATTTGGCACATAGGACTGGACATTTGGACATGGGACTGGACATTTGGACATGGGACTGGACATTTGGCACATGGGACTGGACATTTGGACATGGGACTGGACATTTGGACATGGGACTGGACATTTGGCACATGGGACTGGACATTTGGCACATGGGACTGGACATTTGGCACATGGGACTGGACATTTGGACATGGGACTGGACATTTGGACATGGGACTGGACATTTGGACATGATAGTGGACATTTGGCACAAGGGACTGGACATTTGAACATGGGACTGGACATTTGGCACATGGGACTGGACATTTGGCACATGGGACTGGACATTTGGCACATGGGACTGGACATTTGGCACAAGGGACTGGACATTTGACACATGGGACTGGACATTTGGCACATGGGACTGGAAATTTGGCACATGGGACTGGACATTTGGACATGGGACTGGACATTTGGCACAAGGGACTGGACATTTGACACATGGGACTGGACATTTGGCACATGGGACTGGACATTTGGCACACGGGACTGGACATTTGGACATGGGACTGGACATTTGGCACATGGGACTGGACATTTGGCACAAGGGACTGGACATTTGGCACATGGGACTGGACATTTGGCACATGGGACTGGACATTTGGCACATGGGACTGGACATTTGGCACATGGGACTGGACATTTGGCACATGGGACTGGACATTTGGCACATGGGACTGGACATTTGGCACATGGGACTGGACATTTGGCACATGGGACTGGACATTTGGCACATGGGACTGGACATTTGGCACATGGGACTGGACATTTGGCACATGGGACTGGACATTTGGCACATGGGACTGGACATTTGGCACAGGGACTGGACATTTGGCACATGGGACTGGATATCTAATAGAAAAAAAAACCATAATCAGACCAGAATGTGAATAAGTTGATTGACAGGATGACTCCTCCCCCTGCTGTGGTCTGTCCACTTCCGCTACTTGGTACCTGGCACACAAACCCTGGTCTAGAGCTGTAGCTGAGAAAATAGGGGACCAGGCTACCATCAAGTTATTTTGATGAACTGACTGACATAACCAGGCTACCATCAAGTTATTTTGATGAACTGACTGACATAACCAGGCTACCATCAAGTTATTTTGATGAACTGACTGACATAACCAGGCTACCATCAAGTTATTTTGATGAACTGACTGACATAACCAGGCTACCATCAAGTTATTTTGATGAACTGACTGACATAACCAGGTTACCATCAAGTTATTTTGATGAACTGACTGACATAACCAGGCTACCATCAAGTTATTTTGATGAACTGACTGACAGAGTTCAAACAGAAACCAATTAACAGGGGTGGGTGGGGGGGGGGTGCTGAGCACCAACTTACAATTAGGGGCATAGTTGAGCACCAACTTACAATTAGGGGCAGAGTTGAGCACCAACTTACAATTAGGGGCAGAGTGGGGCACCAACTTTTAATTAGGAGTGGAGTGGGGCACCAACTTACAGTTAGGAGTGGAGTGTAGTGGGGCACCAACTTACAGTTAGGGGCAGAGTTGAGCACCAACTTACAGTTAGGGGCAGAGTAAAGCACCAACTTACAGTTAGGAGTGGAGTGGAGTGGGGCACCAACTTACAGTTAGGGGCAGAGTTGAGCACCAATAAAGTTTTCCACCTGGCTTTCATCTCGTGATAGCGAACAATATTGTCGAGGAGTATCGCAGTTCTTTCCCTTAGAAGAATTAAGTCAAAAATAAAATAGTGTCAACATTTACATACAATTGTTATACGGCTAATCATAATGGCTGCAATATATTATGTCACTTTCAATGCCTCACCTTTACTATCCTAGTAAAACCAACATGCAGGGCAGGGGCGGGTGATGAATACCAAACTAGCCAACATGCTTATTTCTAAACCTAATGCTATCATAAGAACTTTGATAGCCTGGATAGACAGTCAATGTGGAAATTGTTGAGACACTATGGGGTACCACAGAAAATAGTCAACATTATTATGTCTTCATATAAAGGTCTGAAATGTAGAGTAAAGCGTGGGCAAACAGACTTCAGAGGCCTTCCCAGTACGGAGCGAGTAAGGCAGGGTTGCCTACTTTCACCATTCCTGTTCCTACTGGCCATAGGCTGGGTTATGAAGATGTCAACAGAGAAAAAGTGAAACAGTTTTCAGTGGACACTGTGGAGCCAGCTGGATGACCTGGACTTTGCTGACTTCTTTCTCACACACAACAGCAAATGCAGGATAAAACCAACAGGGTTGCTAATTTTTCTACAAGCCTGGGCCTGAACATCCACAGAGGGAAAAGTAAAGTTCTCAAAGTCAATGCATCAAACAGCAACCCTATAACATTGGCAGATAATGCCGTAGAAGAAGTGGATAGATTCACCTACCTTGGAACTTTTGTTGATAAGCAGGGTGGGACAGAAGCAGAGATAAAAATAAGGACGGGCAAGGCAAGAGCAGTCTTCAACCAACTAAAAAATGTTTTGGGTTCTGGAGATTTAACCCTTGGAATAAAAATCCAGATCTTCAACACACAAGTAAAACCTGTTTTACTCTATGGAGCTGAGACAAGGAGAATAACTGCTATAAATAAGAAGAAAATACAATCATTTATAAACGCATGCCTCAGAAGATCCTGCGAATTCGCTGGCCTAAAACCATCAGAAATGATGTTCTATGGCAACGGACAAATCAACTGCCAGCTGAAGTAGAGACCCTCCAGAGAAAATGGAAATAGATTGGCCACACACTCAGGAAGCCTGTATCCAGCATAACAAGACAGGCCCTCACCTGGAATCCACAAGGCAGGAGGAGGAGAGGCAGACCAAGAAAGCCTTGTAGTTGAGACCTGGAAGAAGACAACAAGCTGATTGGATACACCTGGGGACAGTTGGAGAGACTAGCCCAGGACAGAGACGTCTGGAAAGCTCTTGTCAGCGGCCTATGTCCCAGGATGGGCGACAGGCAAACCTAACCTAACTAACCTAATGCTATCACATTTAGCATATAGTTATAACTCAAAGAGAAGTCTAAAAAAATTTAAATGGCTGATATTTTTTTTCCTGCTGTTGCCATGGTGATGGCACCCATCTTGGATTTTACTTACCTTTTTAACATCAAAATAACTCAAAGATGGCTTATCCAAATTCAATAAAAACTTACAGGATTATAGGAACACATATTGGTAACAATTCTGATAAATTACATATTCAAAATTTAAAAATACGTTTTTTTGTTGTTTTTTTTAAATCACCTTTAAAAAATCAAAACTTGAGCAAATAATTCACCATTTTAACTGTAAAAGAAAAACCATTACAAATTTTTTAAAAAATTTGTTCATTGAGTTTTATATAAATAAGCATTTTGACTAATTTGGTATTCATCCCATACCTTATGCCCTAAACCCAATGTTACTTTTTCTGTTTTTCGCCCAATCCTAATAAGGTTTAGGTAATGAGTGGTTATTAGTTATCAGGATCATGAGGGGTAAGGTCACTGGGGTTAAGGGTGGGCGTTAAGGTCACAGTGGTTACGGTCATGATGGTTAAGGTCATAATGGTTAAGGCTATGGGGGTTAAGGTCATGGGGTTACGGTCATGAGGGTTAAGGTCATGGTTGTTAAGGTCATGGTTGTTAAGGTCATGATGGTTAAGGTCATGGGGGTTAAGGTCATGGTTGTTAAGGTCATGAGGTTAAGGTCATGAGGTTAAGGTCATGAGGGTTAAGGTCATGATGGTTAAGGTCATGGTTGTTAAGGTCATGATGGTTAAGGTCATGGTTAAGGTCATGAGGGTTAAGGTCATGAGGGTTAAGGTCATGGGGGTTTAGAGAGAGCTCACCTGGCTGTGGATGAACACGGGTACAAACCAAAGAGAAATGACCAGACTTCCTTACGTATATCAGGTGCTACACCACCTAAAGGAACATCAAATCTCTTTAACATCAACTACAGTAAATAAACATCAAACAGTGACTTCATGAAATAAACATCAAACAGTGACTTCATGAAATAAACATCAAACAGTGACTTCATGAAATAAACATCAAACAGTGACTTCATGAAATAAACATCAAACAGTGACTTCATGAAATAAACATCAAACAGTGACTTCATGAAATAAACATCAAACAGTGACTTCATGAAATAAACATCAAACAGTGACTTCATGAAATAAACATCAAACAGTGACTTCATGAAATAAACATCAAACAGTGACTTCATGAAATAAACATCAAACAGTGACTTCATGAAATAAACATCAAACAGTGACTTCATGAAATAAACATCAAACAGTGACTTCATGAAATAAACATCAAACAGTGACTTCATGAAATAAACATCAAACAGTGACTTCATGAAATAAACATCAAACAGTGACTTCATGAAATAAACATCAAACAGTGACTTCATGAAATAAACATCAAACAGTGACTTCATGAAATAAACATCAAACAGTGACTTCATGAAATAAACATCAAACAGTGACTTCATGAAATAAACATCAAACAGTGACTTCATGAAATAAACATCAAACAGTGACTTCATGAAATAAACATCAAACAGTGACTTCATGAAATAAACATCAAACAGTGACTTCATGAAATAAACATCAAACAGTGACTTCATGAAATAAACATCAAACAGTGACTTCATGAAATAAACATCAAACAGTGACTTCATGAAATAAACATCAAACAGTGACTTCATGAAATAAACATCAAACAGTGACTTCATGAAATAAACATCAAACAGTGACTTCATGAAATAAACATCAAACAGTGACTTCATGAAATAAACATCAAACAGTGACTTCATGAAATAAACATCAAACAGTGACTTCATGAAATAAACATCAAACAGTGACTTCATGAAATAAACATCAAACAGTGACTTCATGAAATAAACATCAAACAGTGACTTCATGAAATAAACATCAAACAGTGACTTCATGAAATAAACTAACAAATAACAAATATATATGCTACAGTACAAAACTCTAAACCACATACCCAAGAAAACAGCTTTTCTTAATTGGTGCTCACTAATCAGACGTCCATCTGGGTCCATCATGGCTTCAAACTGTGTCTTTGTTAGAGGTTCAGTCCTTGAGGTCACTAATATATCTGTGTCCAAAGCCAGGCCAGCGGGGGGAAGTTTAGATGGGATAATGTCAACCTGTTCAAACGTCTCGTCCTCATAGCAGGGCCTGAATGTTTAGATGGGATAATGTCAACCTGTTCAAATGTCAACCTGTTCAAATGTCAACCTGTTCAAATGTCAACCTGTTCAAATGTCTTGTCCTCATAGCAGGGCCTGAATGTTTAGATGGGATAATGTCAACCTGTTCAAATGTCAACCTGTTCAAATGTCAACCTGTTCAAATGTCAACCTGTTCAAATGTCAACCTGTTCAAATGTCAACCTGTTCAAATGTCTTGTCCTCATAGCAGGGCCTGAATGTTTAGATGGGATAATGTCAACCTGTTCAAATGTCAACCTGTTCAAATGTCAACCTGTTCAAATGTCAACCTGTTCAAATGTCAACCTGTTCAAATGTCTCGTCCTCATAGCAGGGCCTGAATGTTTAGATGGGATAATGTCAACCTGTTCAAATGTCAACCTGTTCAAATGTCTCATCCTCATAGCAGGACCTGAATGTTTAGATGGGATAATGTCAACCTGTTCAAATGTCAACCTGTTCAAATGTCAACCTGTTCAAATGTCAACCTGTTCAAATGTCAACCTGTTCAAATGTCTTGTCCTCATAGCAGGGCCTGAATGTTTAGATGGGATAATGTCAACCTGTTCAAATGTCAACCTGTTCAAATGTCAACCTGTTCAAATGTCAACCTGTTCAAATGTCAACCTGTTCAAATGTCTCGTCCTCATAGCAGGGCCTGAATGTTTAGATGGGATAATTTCAACCTGTTCAAATGTCAACCTGTTCAAATGTCAACCTGTTCAAATGTCAACCTGTTCAAATGTCAACCTGTTCAAATGTCTCATCCTCATAGCAGGACCTGAATGTTTAGATGGGATAATGTCAACCTGTTCAAATGTCAACCTGTTCAAATGTCAACCTGTTCAAATGTCAACCTGTTCAAATGTCAACCTGTTCAAATGTCAACCTGTTCAAATGTCTTGTCCTCATAGCAGGGCCTGAATGTTTAGATGGGATAATGTCAACCTGTTCAAATGTCAACCTGTTCAAATGTCAACCTGTTCAAATGTCAACCTGTTCAAATGTCAACCTGTTCAAATGTCAACCTGTTCAAATGTCTCGTCCTCATAGCAGGGCCTGAATGTTTAGATGGGATAATGTCAACCTGTTCAAATGTCAACCTGTTCAAATGTCAACCTGTTCAAATGTCAACCTGTTCAAATGTCTCGTCCTCATAGCAGGGCCTGAATGTTTAGATGGGATAATGTCAACCTGTTCAAATGTCAACCTGTTCAAATGTCAACCTGTTCAAATGTCAACCTGTTCAAATGTCAACCTGTTCAAATGTCTCGTCCTCATAGCAGGGCCTGAATGTTTAGATGGGATAATGTCAACCTGTTCAAATGTCAACCTGTTCAAATGTCAACCTGTTCAAATGTCAACCTGTTCAAATGTCTCATCCTCATAGCAGGGCCTGAATGTTTAGATGGGATAATGTCAACCTGTTCAAATGTCAACCTGTTCAAATGTCTCGTCCTCATAGCAGGGCCTGAATGTTTAGATGGGATAATGTCAACCTTTTCAAATGTCAACCTGTTCAAATGTCTCATCCTCATAGCAGGGCCTGAATGTTTAGATGGGATAATGTCAACCTGTTCAAATGTCAACCTGTTCAAATGTCTCGTCATCATAGCAGGGCCTGAATGTTTAGATGGGATAATGTCAACTTGTTCAAATGTCAACCTGTTCAAATGTCAACCTGTTCAAATGTCTCATCCTCATAGCAGGGCCTGAATGTTTAGATGGGATAATGTCAACTTGTTCAAATGTCAACCTGTTCAAATGTCAACCTGTTCAAATGTCTCATCCTCATAGCAGGGCCTGAATGTTTAGATGGGATAATGTCAACCTGTTCAAATGTCTCGTCCTCATAGCAGGGCCTGAATGTTTAGATGGGATAATGTCAACCTGTTCAAATGTCAACCTGTTCAAATGTCAACCTGTTCAAATGTCAACCTGTTCAAATGTCAACCTGTTCAAATGTCTCGTCCTCATAGCAGGGCCTGAATGTTTAGATGGGATAATGTCAACCTGTTCAAATGTCAACCTGTTCAAATGTCAACCTGTTCAAATGTCAACCTGTTCAAAAGTCAACCTGTTCAAATGTCGCGTCCTCATAGCAGGGCCTGAATGTTTAGATGGGATAATGTCAACCTGTTCAAATGTCTCGTCCTCATAGCAGGGCCTGAATGTTTAGATGGGATAATGTCAACCTGTTCAAATGTCAACCTGTTCAAATGTCAACCTGTTCAAATGTCAACCTGTTCAAATGTCAACCTGTTCAAATGTCTCGTCCTCATAGCAGGGCCTGAATGTTTAGATGGGATAATGTCAACCTGTTCAAATGTCAACCTGTTCAAATGTCTCATCCTCATAGCAGGGCCTGAATGTTTAGATGGGATAATGTCAACCTGTTCAAATGTCTCATCCTCATAGCAGGGCCTGAATGTTTAGATGGGATAATGTCAACCTGTTCAAATGTCTCGTCCTCATAGCAGGGCCTGAATGTTTAGATGGGATAATGTCAACCTGTTCAAATGTCAACCTGTTCAAATGTCAACCTGTTCAAATGTCAACCTGTTCAAATGTCAACCTGTTCAAATGTCTCGTCCTCATAGCAGGGCCTGAATGTTTAGATGGGATAATGTCAACCTGTTCAAATGTCAACCTGTTCAAATGTCAACCTGTTCAAATGTCAACCTGTTCAAATGTCTCATCCTCATAGCAGGGCCTGAATGTTTAGATGGGATAATGTCAACCTGTTCAAATGTCAACCTGTTCAAATGTCTCGTCCTCATAGCAGGGCCTGAATGTTTAGATGGGATAATGTCAACCTGTTCAAATGTCAACCTGTTCAAATGTCTCGTCCTCATAGCAGGGCCTGAATGTTTAGATGGGATAATGTCAACCTGTTCAAATGTCAACCTCTTCAAATGTCAACCTGTTCAAATGTCAACCTGTTCAAATGTCAACCTGTTCAAATGTCTCGTCCTCATAGCAGGGCCTGAATGTTTAGATGGGATAATGTCAACCTGTTCAAATGTCAACCTGTTCAAATGTCTCATCCTCATAGCAGGGCCTGAATGTTTAGATGGGATAATGTCAACCTGTTCAAATGTCAACCTGTTCAAATGTCAACCTGTTCAAATGTCTCGTCCTCATAGCAGGGCCTGAATGTTTAGATGGGATAATGTCAACCTGTTCAAATGTCAACCTGTTCAAATGTCAACCTGTTCAAATGTCAACCTGTTCAAATGTCTCATCCTCATAGCAGGGCCTGAATGTTTAGATGGGATAATGTCAACCTGTTCAAATGTCAACCTGTTCAAATGTCTCATCCTCATAGCAGGGCCTGAATGTTTAGATGGGATAATGTCAACCTGTTCAAATGTCAACCTGTTCAAATGTCTCGTCCTCATAGCAGGGCCTGAATGTTTAGATGGGATAATGTCAACCTGTTCAAATGTCAACCTGTTCAAATGTCTCATCCTCATAGCAGGGCCTGAATGTTTAGATGGGATAATGTCAACCTGTTCAAATGTCAACCTGTTCAAATGTCTCGTCCTCATAGCAGGGCCTGAATGTTTAGATGGGATAATGTCAACCTGTTCAAATGTCAACCTGTTCAAATGTCTCGTCCTCATAGCAGGGCCTGAATGTTTAGATGGGATGTCAACCTGTTCAAATGTCAACCTGTTCAAATGTCAACCTGTTCAAATGTCAACCTGTTCAAATGTCTCGTCCTCATAGCAGGGCCTGAATGTTTAGATGGGATAATGTCAACCTGTTCAAATGTCAACCTGTTCAAATGTCAACCTGTTCAAATGTCAACCTGTTCAAATGTCAACCTGTTCAAATGTCTCGTCCTCATAGCAGGGCCTGAATGTTTAGATGGGATAATGTCAACCTGTTCAAATGTCAACCTGTTCAAATGTCAACCTGTTCAAATGTCAACCTGTTCAAATGTCTCATCCTCATAGCAGGGCCTGAATGTTTAGATGGGATAATGTCAACCTGTTCAAATGTCAACCTGTTCAAATGTCTCATCCTCATAGCAGGGCCTGAATGTTTAGATGGGATAATGTCAACCTGTTCAAATGTCTCATCCTCATAGCAGGGCCTGAATGTTTAGATGGGATAATGTCAACCTGTTCAAATGTCTCGTCCTCATAGCAGGGCCTGAATGTTTAGATGGGATAATGTCAACCTGTTCAAATGTCAACCTGTTCAAATGTCAACCTGTTCAAATGTCAACCTGTTCAAATGTCAACCTGTTCAAATGTCTCGTCCTCATAGCAGGGCCTGAATGTTTAGATGGGATAATGTCAACCTGTTCAAATGTCAACCTGTTCAAATGTCAACCTGTTCAAATGTCAACCTGTTCAAATGTCTCATCCTCATAGCAGGGCCTGAATGTTTAGATGGGATAATGTCAACCTGTTCAAATGTCAACCTGTTCAAATGTCTCGTCCTCATAGCAGGGCCTGAATGTTTAGATGGGATAATGTCAACCTGTTCAAATGTCAACCTGTTCAAATGTCTCGTCCTCATAGCAGGGCCTGAATGTTTAGATGGGATAATGTCAACCTGTTCAAATGTCAACCTCTTCAAATGTCAACCTGTTCAAATGTCAACCTGTTCAAATGTCAACCTGTTCAAATGTCTCGTCCTCATAGCAGGGCCTGAATGTTTAGATGGGATAATGTCAACCTGTTCAAATGTCAACCTGTTCAAATGTCTCATCCTCATAGCAGGGCCTGAATGTTTAGATGGGATAATGTCAACCTGTTCAAATGTCAACCTGTTCAAATGTCAACCTGTTCAAATGTCTCGTCCTCATAGCAGGGCCTGAATGTTTAGATGGGATAATGTCAACCTGTTCAAATGTCAACCTGTTCAAATGTCAACCTGTTCAAATGTCAACCTGTTCAAATGTCTCATCCTCATAGCAGGGCCTGAATGTTTAGATGGGATAATGTCAACCTGTTCAAATGTCAACCTGTTCAAATGTCTCATCCTCATAGCAGGGCCTGAATGTTTAGATGGGATAATGTCAACCTGTTCAAATGTCAACCTGTTCAAATGTCTCGTCCTCATAGCAGGGCCTGAATGTTTAGATGGGATAATGTCAACCTGTTCAAATGTCAACCTGTTCAAATGTCTCATCCTCATAGCAGGGCCTGAATGTTTAGATGGAATAATGTCAACCTGTTCAAATGTCAACCTGTTCAAATGTCTCGTCCTCATAGCAGGGCCTGAATGTTTAGATGGGATAATGTCAACCTGTTCAAATGTCAACCTGTTCAAATGTCTCGTCCTCATAGCAGGGCCTGAATGTTTAGATGGGATAATGTCAACCTGTTCAAATGTCAACCTGTTCAAATGTCAACCTGTTCAAATGTCAACCTGTTCAAATGTCAACCTGTTCAAATGTCTCGTCCTCATAGCAGGGCCTGAATGTTTAGATGGGATAATGTCAACCTGTTCAAATGTCAACCTGTTCAAATGTCAACCTGTTCAAATGTCTCATCCTCATAGCAGGGCCTGAATGTTTAGATGGGATAATGTCAACCTGTTCAAATGTCAACCTGTTCAAATGTCTCGTCCTCATAGCAGGGCCTGAATGTTTAGATGGGATAATGTCAACCTGTTCAAATGTCAACCTGTTCAAATGTCTCATCCTCATAGCAGGGCCTGAATGTTTAGATGGGATAATGTCAACCTGTTCAAATGTCAACCTGTTCAAATGTCTCATCCTCATAGCAGGGCCTGAATGTTTAGATGGGATAATGTCAACCTGTTCAAATGTCAACCTGTTCAAATGTCTCATCCTCATAGCAGGGCCTGAATGTTTAGATGGGATAATGTCAACCTGTTCAAATGTCTCATCCTCATAGCAGGGCCTGAATGTTTAGATGGGATAATGTCAACCTGTTCAAATGTCAACCTGTTCAAATGTCTCATCCTCATAGCAGGGCCTGAATGTTTAGATGGGATAATGTCAACCTGTTCAAATGTCTCATCCTCATAGCAGGGCCTGAATGTTTAGATGGGATAATGTCAACCTGTTCAAATGTCAACCTGTTCAAATGTCTCATCCTCATAGCAGGGCCTGAATGTTTAGATGGGATAATGTCAACCTGTTCAAATGTCTCATCCTCATAGCAGGGCCTGAATGTTTAGATGGGATAATGTCAACCTGTTCAAATGTCAACCTGTTCAAATGTCTCATCCTCATAGCAGGGCCTGAATGTTTAGATGGGATAATGTCAACCTGTTCAAATGTCTCGTCCTCATAGCAGGGCCTGAATGTTTAGATGGGATAATGTCAACCTGTTCAAATGTCAACCTGTTCAAATGTCAACCTGTTCAAATGTCTCATCCTCATAGCAGGGCCTGAATGTTTAGATGGGATAATGTCAACCTGTTCAAATGTCAACCTGTTCAAATGTCTCGTCCTCATAGCAGGGCCTGAATGTTTAGATGGGATAATGTCAACCTGTTCAAATGTCAACCTGTTCAAATGTCTCGTCCTCATAGCAGGGCCTGAATGTTTAGATGGGATAATGTCAACCTGTTCAAATGTCAACCTGTTCAAATGTCAACCTGTTCAAATGTCTCATCCTCATAGCAGGGCCTGAATGTTTAGATGGGATAATGTCAACCTGTTCAAATGTCAACCTGTTCAAATGTCAACCTGTTCAAATGTCTCGTCCTCATAGCAGGGCCTGAATGTTTAGATGGGATAATGTCAACCTGTTCAAAAGTCAACCTGTTCAAATGTCAACCTGTTCAAAAGTCAACCTGTTCAAATGTCTCGTCCTCATAGCAGGGCCTGAATGTTTAGATGGGATAATGTCAACCTGTTCAAATGTCAACCTGTTCAAATGTCTCGTCCTCATAGCAGGGCCTGAATGTTTAGATGGGATGCCAACCTGTTCAAATGTCAACCTGTTGAAATGTCAACCTGTTCAAATGTCTCGTCCTCATAGCAGGGCCTGAATGTTTAGATGGGATAATGTCAACCTGTTCAAATGTCAACCTGTTCAAATGTCAACCTGTTCAAATGTCAACCTGTTCAAATGTCAACCTGTTCAAATGTCAACCTGTTCAAATGTCAACCTGTTCAAATGTCATGTCCTACTAGCAGGGCCTGAATGTTTAGATGGAATAATGTCAACCTGTTCAAATGTCAACCTGTTTAAATGTCATGTCCTACTTGCAGGGCCTGAATGTTAGACAAACTGTGACAGGCCTATCAAATTTTATAGGATGTTTACAGGGCCGATGATGCTATGTTTCTGAGCTATACATTTGTTCGAAATTTTAAAACTGTAATCTTTGTTGTATTATGTTTGTATTTTACAGAATTTTAAACCTCCTGTACCCTAATATTGCTAAATCATTGCATTAAAATTGAATGTTAAAACTGATTGAATTGATCAGTGGGGTCACTGTGCTGTCTGCCCCTTCCTCGTCAATAAAAAAAACCCAGCATGTTCAGCTGTTACTTTACTCAAAAATCATGTTTACCTCAATGTTACAGAAAGGCTGTTATTGGTGCAACAAAGTTTAGCAAGATATACTGGAGAATACAATATTCTTATTATTTCTAATGTTGAAGGTAGAAAATGTACCAATTTTGAAGACTTGACATCACAGACAAACACATTTAGTAAAAAACGCAACAGACAAGTAATCCCCAATGTATGAACAAGAAATATGGTGACTGTCTGGTGAAAGTGAACTGCTGATATCCTAGTGTAATCGTCTCAAACAAGGGATTGAAACCTGAACTGCTTGCCATTAAACTGCTAATGTCTTAGCATCTCTTGCAGGTTTTCTATTTTAGATAATTCATTGTTGAATTGTAGTTTACTTTTACACAGTTTTCCTTCAAAACAAAAGTTTTTGTTTACTTTGATTAATCTATCTTTTAATTTTCTAGGCCTAGATCTATATATTTAGTATGTATATATCAGATGCTCCAGGTAAAAGGTCATGTTTGTTTTCTTTTCTAAAATGTTGTATGTTGGTGACCATTGTGCACCATTGTGGGTCGGCAGATGGGTCGGGAAATTTGATGATGAACGTACCCACGTTTTTTGTCAGTCATCACAAGAATCTGCACAGCTCGAGGAAGCACAAAAGAAAAATTTATTTTCTACTTTTTAGTCCACAAGAAAAACGTGGTTTTTTAAAAAGTTTTTTTTAAGTATTCTATTTATTACTTATTATTTGGATAGGATTAAGCAAATTTGTACTTATAATAAAAACAAACAAAAGTAAATTATATTTAAATGATTAATGGAGGTCACAGGTCAAGTACTAGCCAAGTATTTTTTCTTTCAGTGGAGGGTGTTACAGGCAGATCAGTAATGATGACTGCACAGTAAGTTTATAGGGTATTTATATGGTACATAAAATTGGTCGAGGCTACCAGGCTAGTAATGTGAAAAGAAGGTGCCTCATTAAATTTTAGTAATTATTTCACATTTTTAGGAAGATTTATGTTTTAAAAGTTACAAAAATGTTTCAAAGTTTCATTCATGTACCTGTTTCTAAACAGTTGTATTAAAACTTTTCAGTAATAAATAAAAACTAGTGATGTTTTTATCAGATGCAACGATGCTCGTTTACTTTAGCAGCCATCTTGTTTAAGTTTTTTTTTTTTTGTAAATTTATAGCGGGAGATTCAGGGAAACCACTCTATTTTACAAGTGGCTGCTATTTATATAAATCTTGCTCGCAAATACTGCTGTTTAAATAATTCTGGCCTATACTGATATGTTTAGCCATTGACTTGGTTTATTATTCATTTATCTATTATATTTGACACAAATATATCACAATATACTTCTATTAAAGCCTTAACAATGAGGCGATTTTGTCGCACATTACTAGCCATGGGCGATTTTATGTACCTAAAACAATAGATTACCATTAACAGATCTAGATCTATAGTCTATAGCTTACTTAGCTTACTAGATCTAGATCTAGTCTAGCTATTATTGGTACTTTTTTTTTTTACAAAAAAATAATTTTGTAACCCTACTGTAGTCTGTAATGTAGTGTAAATGTAGCCTACCTACTTTAGGCCCTACTTACTACTTTTAATCGTAAGTATTAAAGTATTGGGTACATCCAGATGGTCGCATCGGTACCAATGGTCACGTTGTCAAGTCGAAATTTATGACATAACACTCGCTTGACTCACGCACATCGTATTCTTTTTGACTTCGTGAATTCAGCCTACTTACATTGATTATTATTACTAAACAAGCCGACCCGCGGTGTATCATACGCCGCTATTTAGTTGTTTTTTCTACTTTTCAGTAATTCATAATTTGTGAATTCGACAGTACCAATGCTGCCACTGAAAATATTTGCTTTAAAACACTAAACCCCCATTTCCCCCCCCCCCCCCCGTGAAAGCAGCCTCCTCTTAGTTACCTCCTCTAAGTTTAAAATAGTTTCAATCTGAATTATCTGCCCCTAATAGCCGTCACCAAACTAAACATTTAGCGTGAACTACAACTCACCTGACCATGTGAGGGGGGTGGGGGTGGGGGGTGGTGGTAGTGATAGAGGGGAAGAGAGGGGAATGTAAGGCGCGCGCTTGCAGCTTGTTTTCTAACGTGATCCGTTTTTGCGACAAAAAATACTAATAGCTTTATTATTCACTCTTTTATGTATATAAACAGTATAAATCACATATGAGAATAATTTTGGAAGTTATCTGCTAATTATGGTTTGTCGCATTTTTGCACTCTTTTATGTATATAAACAGTATAAATCACATATGAGAATAATTTTGGAAGTTATCTGCTAATTATGGTTTGTCGCATTTTTGCACTCTTTTATGTATATAAACAGTATAAATCACATATGAGAATAATTTTGGAAGTTATCTGCTAATTATGGTTTGTCGCATTTTTGCAATAAGACATAAAATGGAACTTGGGTGCCAAGCAGGTATAATGAAATACGATGCATCGCCAAGCTGTCATTCATTCAAGTATGATTATAAATAAGTAAAGGATTTACAATATGGCGTTCGCCTATATATAAAAGTGCACTTTAGAACATTACGGTCCATGTGGTAGGTGAAGTAGAGTTCACCTGTTTTATTGACATTGCATATGGAGAGCGATGCTGGAATAATGTGATCATGTTGCTGGGTACAATTTAACGAATTTAGCTTTGAAATATTATTGTAAAATATTAGGAGAACATAAAAAAATAAATAGACAACAGTATGTGAGGTGGTGGACCACTATCCTGGATACCACCAAAGAAAGGTCTTCACAGTGACCTTGACAATAATAACACTGAGCATAGACCTACACCTCGTAATAAATACTGTAAGGTTGAGTACTGACAAACATACCCTTTGCAGTGCTATTGAATACCCACATTAGTGGCACTATACTGGTATTTAGTACCGACAGCAGTGTTATTGAGTACCCACATCTTCAGCACTGAGTACCAACATCAGTGACACTAAGCAACCACAAATTCAGCACTAAGCACTCACAGGGTGATACTGAGTACCCACTGCTAAGGCGGAGTACCCACATCAACGTTATCGATTACCAACAGCGCCAGCCCTGAGTACCCACAGCAGTGACACCAAGAACCAACTACAGTACCCACAGCTGTGACACCAAGAACCAACTACAGTAACACTGAGTACCCACAGCAGTGACACCAAGAACCAACTACAGTACCCACAGCAGTGACACCAAGAACCAACTACAGTAACACTGAGTACCCACAGCAGTGACACCAAGAACCAACTACAGTACCCACAGCTGTGACACCAAGAACCAACTACAGTACCCACAGCAGTGACACCAAGAACCAACTACAGTAACACTGAGTACCCACAGCAGTGACACCAAGAACCAACTACAGTACCCACAGCAGTGACACCAAGAACCAACTACAGTACCCACAGCAGTGACACCAAGAACCAACTACAGTAACACTGAGCACCCACAGCTTCAACAGTGAGTACCAATAGCTTCAGCACTCAGTACACATGGCTTCAACACTCAGTACCCACTGTTTCAGCACTGAGTACCCATATAGGTGGCAATATGTAGCTACAACACTGTCATTGGTAATCAATAGCAGAATCAGTCTAGCACAATAGCCATAGCTCAAAGAACCGAATCGGAAACAGGGTACCATCAACAATAGCAGTGAGCACCCACAACGGTGGCACTGAGTACCCACAGCAGTGACACTGAGAACCCACAGCAGCTGCATTGAGCATGGAAGAATATACAACGGCTGAACACTGTCATTTAGGACAGTATTTGTTCACGTGCTTTGTGTGTATAGCAAATATAGGTCAAATGAGAAATATGCGTCTTTATTAGTTGACCTTGAATAAGAGTTCACGAAAATGACTTAACCGGGGACAACTAAGGCTCTACACATTGAAGGAAGTCCTTTCATATGTAGTGTGTTACTGTAGTGTAGTAGAACCATGACAGCAAGGCTTCAAAATACCCATTCATAAGAGTTAGTCAGTGAGCAGGTGCAGCAGAGTTATGTAACTCTATGCCTGAGCTAATAAAGTATAGTTTTCATGAATTTTGCCATTGATTCTACATCTCCTTGCATGTCTGTATGTTTAGTTTGTGATATTCTATTGTTTGTGCATGGATATTTAAGAAACACATGACAGTAAAAATAGTAAAATGACCCCGACTAAAAAAAGTTAAATTACTGTTTGGTCCATAAGTGCCTGATGTCGAGTTTTTGCGACATACCGTAATTAACATAAAAAATAAGTCCAAATTTAAAAACAACTAGATCTGTAATCTATATACCTCAAATTCAGTGTCAGTATGACGAGAGAAAATCAGCACAAATAATTTTTTACACGCTTTGAACATAATTCAGGCTTTAAGGGGTTAAGTCTTTAGATTGACTAGAATCTCTCTAGATTTAGATTCTAGAATCTAGATGTAGAGATCTCATCTAAATCTAATACTAAATATTACTAATAAGTAGGCCTAATACTAATAGGCCTAAATACTCACAAATTGTGACAAATAGTAATACTACTACTGATAACTAAACTACTGTAACTGTAACTAGCTGTAACTACATATTCCAAGTTCTGGATAGATCTATAGCCTAAGTATTTAATATTATTACACTAATCATAAATCAAAAATCGTAGATCTGACTCAGTCAGTGACTCCGACCGTCGGACTGGCAACTAAAAATCTAGATTCTAGAAATCTAGATTTTCTAGATCGACTAAATCTAGATCTAGATCTAGATCTAGATTCTAGATCTAGATCTACCGCCTAGGCCCTATAAAAATAAATTAAGAGATCGATTTAAGAAATCTTATAATTGGAATAAAGAAAAATAAATAAATTGAAATGCCCAAATTAATTAGATCTAGATACTAGATAGATCTATAGTCTAGACTACCTTTGAACAATATGAGTCATGTTTCGTGGTTGTTGTATCTCCTCCTCCTCCATTTCGATTGTTTTCGTTTGTCAATAGGCTTTATATTTTTGCAGTAGTCTCCCTTGTTTGATTCAAGAGTCCTTGCATATGACGTCAAGGATCGTTCAGTATGTAAACATCCGCCATCGCGATGTACAAAATGGCGATCTGCACGGTGAATGGTTGAGATACTCGAAGTGGCAGATCTAAAGGGATTCCTTAATTTCGACTGCCAAGGGTTATATTAAACCAAGGTGATAGAGATCGGCAGTCAACAGAAAGTAGATTTTTTTTAGCCATTATTTCTCGAAGCGGTGTGACTGAAGCAGATGCAAATAAAATGCGAATATGTTCTCGACTTCTCGACCCTTTGACTTTGTTACTTAAATAATAGGCCGCCTCATTGCTTAGATGGCTGGATTGACCTCTGACCCTGAAACGTCACGCGTCGTTTTCTGACGGTTTTTACGTTTATTTTAGGGTCCAATCCACGACATATGAAAAAACTGTTAATCTTGCAAATTCTTATCATTATTTTAACACAAGATGCTAATAAAATGGATAATATGCCTTAGAATGCCAGAAAAAATCGCTAGAATTGTAGTTGTAAATAATGAGAGGATTTCTAGTGGAGCACTCTCCGTATAAACTGAACCGCGGCCAAAAACGACCGTATAACGGGGAAAACGGCCCGTATAACAGTAGATTAATATATAATTGAGATATTTACCATGTATATTTACAGTATTATGGATGATTTTTACCAAAAATCCAATTACCCCGTAAGTAACCATGCGACAATTTCTCTCTGCTATTTTTAGTAACGTTGCATCATTGTTACGCTAGTTGCCAGACAGAAACAACTAGATCTAGTTTTTTGCGGAATGAACTGTTAAGTCTAGTATTTTAATTATAATTCAATTGTAGCATGTGCGGAAAAAGTAAAATTATGGACATTATTATTGTATTAGTAATTTTATTAGTATATTGATTTTTTCTTCACTGTGGGCCGACAGTTGCTGCATTCGTGACCGGTGGTTAACCTCGTCAGCGCTGCGTGGCCTATTCGTTTATATAATTAGTGAAGCTCGTTCAGTGGCCTTTTTCAGAGCTAGGCCTAATTACGGGCGATTTTTAGACTTATTGATCGGCCGTTAGCCTTTTTCAATTTTCATTGCTGCGTATTTTAAAAAATGCTCGTTCAGCGGCCTTTTTTTTTTGGCGCTAAATAATCTGTTTATGGGCATTTTAAGCGTTTATTTATTTTATTTTTTAAGCTAGATGTAGATCTAGTTAAAAAAATAATCTAGCATGCCTGATATGAGAACTTTAAAAAAAAAAAAAATTACCGAACTTTTAAAAAAATGATCAGAAGTAGGAAAGTAGGTCTGTTTTTCAATTTGCTTGAAGAAGGGGGGGGGGAGAGAGAAGTGAAGACACCGACCATCTCGTGTACACGTGTTCATTCTATGACGTGTACTATAGGCCTGCTGAAGTCACGGTGACCCCGCGACCGTGGTGGGATTTTTCATCAATAGGATAGTAAACGCAAGCAAGCAATCACGCGAGTGACGATGTTTGGAGATTTTATTTTAAAAAAAAAATCACATACGTCATGTTTTCAAGATGAAAAAAAAATGTAATGTAAAAAAAAAAAAAAAGACACTAATACCATGTATGAACCTCAGCTGCCACACTGTTGACTCAATATAATGTGAATTGAGTGTAAAATAAAATGTATTTGTATTTATAAACTATAATATCATTTTAAGCATATTTATTTTTTAAAATTAGAATTTGAAATAAAAATATTTATTATGGTCATTTGATTTATGCAGGTGTTCATTATTGCATAAAATGGTATGAATAACATGTAGATTAGAATTTAATAAATAATAAAATAACTAGATCTAGTTTTATTATCAAATCAACCAGTTACTTTTTGTTATTTTCCGGTGAGTAAATTACCTAAGCTGACGCAATTACCATGGCGGGAATTAAAAGCTCGTGTACACAGGTCGACGACGTCATGTTATGCCGGTCGAGGACCAAGAACGCTGTTTTGTCATTCATTTTCCATTTTTGATTAATTTTCAAATTCTCTCTTTTCTCGTCAACCGAGTAAGCTAGATATTTAAATGTGGTGTCAAATGTTCTCTTAAGGGGTAAGGAAGTTAATGGTGTATTTAAAATAACAGAATATTTTATTTAAAAAAATCCATAATTCAACCTATTAAATAAATAACTTTGTTTTTGGTAGGGACAGTAAACAATAAACTTCATTTTATTTTTAATCAACAAAAGACAACTGTTAATAAAACAATGAATATGCTTGACCTTTATAAATGTTATAGTAGATCTAAATAATAGACCAAAGTCAAAAGTATAGGCCTAATAATGAAATTTAATTGGAATATTTATTTAATATTTAATACTATCGTAGCCGTCCCCGCGCGTTGCAGCGGAAATGAAGAAAGTCCGATGGAATATATAAGAAGGGTTTCATCCATGCGTTACCAATCCTATATTCTTAGACTCGTGACCTTGTTTTCTAAAAGTGAGTTATTTAAATGTAAACAACGCCTGCGCTTGGATCATAAATATCGGGACACGGGTTTACCTAAACTACAGCATGAAAACCTTGAGTGTACATTAATCACTCACCGAAATAATATGGTAGAACACACTTCGGTGACCGCACATGTGTCGGAGACGTAGAGGGGCGCTCTCAGGAGCCCCCCCCCCCCCGATTACACTACCGCATAAGCGCGGCGTACCACCCTAGCTCCTTAAAACTAACAGGCGCCATTGTGCCTAATGGCATCCTGTTAACAATGATGCATGTTGCGTCATTCTCTAAAGTGACAAATGAACAGGATTTGTTAATTAACACGTAAAACAATTATTTGATATGTTTTAAACATCAGTGTGACTGATGCAATATGTTAGCGATAATTATGGTCTATTCTTTGATGCTCGATCTCAATTTCTGATTGGATTATCTAAAAATAGATGCTAATTGCATCATTCGCAAAGTGACGAAACTGTTTGGATTTTTTTACGGACAAAAAGAAACATCCCAGTTAATAATCTAACCTTGGTTAATTTTTCTGATTATTAAAATAAAACGTATTACATGGCCCTCAGCGTCCCATGTGAGCCTTTAGAGGCAGAAACAGACTGAGACATTTTTATTTGCAGCCTAATTGCACCCTATCAAGGCGCCAGAGGACACGCCTGATTCAATTTAGTAAGTTAGTAAGCGTTTGTAATGCCCCATCCTATCCATTGTCTATCACACTGTTTAGACCGAACGTATTCACCATAGCGCTCATGGGAAAGAACAGGGCGCCATATCGCATCCTGCCGGGGGGCCGCCCAGAGTGTTCTAATGAACTCACCAAAGTTTGATGGCGATCGGATGAATGGTGTCAAACCAAAATCGACTTTTATTTTTATATACCGTATATATATAGAAAAGTGAAGTGGGGTTTAGTTCATAGGACAAAGCTGAAAAATTACGTGGAAGTCAAATTATTGAACAGAGTTCTAGCTTTAATAATAAATATATACTGAAGAAATCTATCTATCTTCTATATACTACTAAAACTCAAGTTTGTTTACATGTTTGAATATTTATTTGTTTGTCCATTTGGTTACAGGAGAGAATCTGCAGAGAGAATGTGTAGAGCTGTAAAATAGTATGTAGGTAGAGAATAATTTTCTTTATCAGACCTACGGTTAATCACAAATTTATTTAAAGACGTTAATTAATTTATTTATTCAATGGTAGATTAACCACATTAATTATAAAAGTTCAGAACAATAATTTTACTTAGAGTGAATAGTGACGTCACATGATTTATTTACTTTTTACATCAACAATGGTGGCTTCCATCGAAGATTGTGAAGCCCATCCCAATGTTCAATGCGTTCTAAAGCTAATTTTCTGTCGGCTATAACTTTAACAATATGTCAGTTTGCTTTTTTTATTACATTCCAACACTTATATCCTTTTTCAACAGTCTTTTTCATTTAGTTTTAAAATAAATTTCTCTAGCTCTACAATCTAAAGATCAGCTGTCCAAGAAAGTTATTTATAGATCTAGGTCGAACCAAATTATTTTAAAATGAGAATAATTTATTGAGTTCCTTTATTAAACTATTTTAGTCCTTAAATATTTGATATAAATCTTTGCTTGTTAGCTTCACGGATCATCTAATTCAAGAATACCAATGATTTTTTTTATCTAGACAGTGCTGCCGGTGAAATCAGGTAGTTACCCTAACACCCTGTGCAGGACACACAATAAGTGGATCCCAGATGTAGAGATAGCCACTGGGGATCTCGAGGCGCTAAATCACACATTTCTGTGGGGTGCCGCCACTCTGGCCTATGACAGAACCGTTTGTCGTCTAATTTATTTATATTTTTTAAAAGTTATTTTTTATTGTATTTTCTTTTTTTTAAAGACCACTGTAAAGGCCGCGTTCTCTTTCTTCAACATCCATACACGCTGTCGTCAGAAAGTTTTCCTCACATATCAGTTCTCTATATATAAATAACAATGGGTCTGTTATAGAGCACTCAATACAGATTTGGTACCAGTAGGCTACATAGTTTTTTAGTCAAGCTGGTGCAATGTTAATAAACTATACTAAAAAAAGTGACAGACTTTCAACTAAACTACCATGGTCAAACAATATAACAAGCCAAGTTTATAGTTGATAGTTTTAAAAAAATAATTTTTTATTTGTATAGAAACTGTACATGACTTCAGATAAATCTCTAGTGTATATCCCTGCCTGTTGTGTTGGGCAGTGCTATACTGGCCAGCCCACCAAAAGCCAAGAGTCCAGCCACCAGTAGCATGGGTACAGCACAGTGGGTGTCCACTAGAACACCAAAGATGATGTTACCTAAAATAGCACCAACCCTCAGCGAGGCTGTCTGGACGCCAAAAGCTGTTGACCTATTGGTCAAAGACAATTTCAAAGGACTTTTCAACATTGTCAGATAATCAATCACTAACATTGACATCACTTTTCAACATTGCTACTGTCAGATAATCAATCACTAACATTGACATCACTTTTCAACATTGCTACTGTCAGATAATCAACATTAACATTGACATCGCAATAAACACTGACCAATCAACAAACACTGACCAATCAAACACTGACCACTATCAAACCCTGCCACTGACCACTGTCAAACCCTGCCACTGACCACTGTCAAACCCTGCCACTATCAAACCCTGCCACTGCCCACTGTCAAACCCTGCCACTGACCACTGTCAAACCCTGCCACTATCAAACCCTGCCACTGCCCACTGTCAAACCCTGCCACTGACCTCTATCAAACCCTGCCACTATCAAACCCTGCCACTGACCACTGTCAAACCCTGCCACTATCAAACCCTGCCACTATCAAACTCTGCCACTGACCACTATTAAAACTGACCAGTACCTGACATCTGTAGGAAAGAGCTCTGTTTGCAAGACGTCCAGCATATTGAAGCCACAGACGGAGATGGCACCAAAGAGACAGGACATGAGCACATTCTGCCAGCGTGTCTTGACAAACCACAGGAAGAAGACTGAGATTCCAGACAGCACCATGCTAGAGGCTGGGACCAAAGGGGCAACCGTTAATAATATCCAGTGGATGGGTTAGGGTGGGGCTCAAATTTTGGATGGAGTGTGGGTCAATTGATGTAATTTGGATGGAGTTATGGTCAATTTATGTAATTTGGATGGAGTGATGGTCAATTGATGTAATTTGGATGGAGTGTGGGTCAATTGATGTAATTTGGATGGAGTGATGGTCAATTGATGTAATTTGGATGGAGTGTGGGTCAATTGATGTAATTTGGATGGAGTGTGGGTCAATTGATGTAATTTGGATGGAGTGTGGGTCAATTGATGTAATTTGGATGGAGTGTGGGTCAATTGATGTAATTGGTCATGGTCAATTTTTTGTTACAGTATTATGATAACATTTTGACTGTTATGTTCTTTTGTAAGAAAATATTTAAAAATAGCTTTTAGAACTATAAAGTTTCCAAGATATAAATACGTCTTTCAACTTTTATACAATTTTAAATTGAAATTTTTGTTTTTAACATTTTTAAATAAATAGTAAAATGACATCACATGCTCCTACCACACAACCATGTTGTTCTGTTTCATGTCATTAGCTTAACCCAGGGGTTCCCAACCTTTTATTTACTCTAGAGCATATTCTAAAATATCGGTTGGGGCACCACCTATTTTAAATCGACAAACTCCTTCCAGAGGCGTAGCGACCCTTCCCGTCACCCGGGGACAAAACTTTCGATTTGCACCCCCCCCTCAAATTTTTTATTTGCACCCCCCTCAAATTTTTCGACGACCCCCCCCCCCCCCCCCCCCAAACTTTCTATTTCCATCCACTTCAACCTTTCAATAATGTTTATGAATAAACCGGGAGTGATCTCCCCTAAACTTTGTCGAATATTCTAATATAACATTACAGGGGATGGCAACTCGGGATATAGACTTCTAGACATGATTTTTAATCCATTTTAAATACTCACATTTCTTAAAATAGAATATAATCTCGTAGAAAAAAGAAATGCACACCAAGTGAACGCTAAATAAAAAAGCGCATAATAGTGCGCAATATTATTAGTACTTTATAAATTTACATGCGTTTTTTGAGAAATCGGAAATAGCGTAAATAAGTACTTCCAGTCAACGGAAATTACTCAAAATTTGACAGAAGGTAGAGAATTAGCTCTTTTACTTACATATCAAATTTCATTTATCTATCTGAAATAGTAGTCAAGTTATAGGCTTTTGAAAAATTCAAAGTAGAAAAAGTACCACTTCCGGTTATCGGAATTCGCTCAAAAGTTGATACGGATCTACGATTTTGATAAAATACTTATATATATATGAAATTTCACCAGCCTAGCTGTAATGGTAATCAAGTTATTGTGTTTACACACGGACACACAGATACACAGACACACACAGACATACGGACAAGATTGCAAAATTATGTTTTTCCGTATCAGTGAGGTGTAAAACGTTGAGATTTGTAAAAATCTCGATTTTTTTTTTTGCACGATTACAATACTTTGTGCTGACTGCCCTCTACAACTGAGTTCTCCTCCCCAGCTCTATACTACGTATATAGCAATATAAACATAAAGTGATATTTCAACGCCAAGGGTAGACAAAGGTACAGAATATAGTCCAAGTAAAGACAGAACAGACAGACCCGACGGGTTCCGAACCTACCATTCCACACGGCACCGAATCGCCTCGCCTTCCATGCCTCAAGTCAGACGTGTAACCGATTCTACCAATCAGCTCTACAAAAAATTATTAGAACCTACCTAACAAAGGTTTCCTCCCAATCCTGTCAACAATGTGCACAGTTAAGACATTGCCACCCATAGAACCTACCTAACAACCCCCCCCCCCACCCCCCATAGAACCTACCTAACAAAGGTTTCCTCCCAATCCTGTCCACAATGAGCACAGTTAAGACATTGCCGGGCAGGTTGGAGATTGAGGTCAAAAAACTTTCCACGTACACAGCGTCACCAGGCTGATCACACACAGTGCTGTTGTCTGTGGTGTTGCCGGTCTGTACACATGGTAAGATGACATTGTACCCAGGGTTAGATGACATTGTACACACAGTTAGATGACATTGTACACACAGTTAGATGACATTGTACACACAGTTAGATGACATTGTACACACAGTTAGATGACATTGTACACACAGTTAGATGACATTGTACACACAGTTAGATGACATTGTACACAGTTAGATGACATTGTACACACAGTTAGATGACATTGTACACACAGTTAGATGACATTGTACACAGTTAGATGACATTGTACACACAGTTAGATGACATTGTATACAGGGTTAGATGACATTGTACACACAGTTAGATGACATTGTACACACAGTTAGATGACATTGTACACACAGTTAGATGACATTGTACACACAGTTAGATGACATTGTACAAACAGTTAGATGACATTGTACACACAGTTAGATGACATTGTACAAACAGTTAGATGACATTGTACACAGGGTTAGATGACATTGTACACACGGTTAGATGACATTGTACACACAGTTAGATGACATTGTACCCAGGGTTAGATGACATTGTACACAGGGTTAGGGTTAGATGACATTGTACACAGGGTTAGATGACATTGTACACACAGTTAGATGACATTGTACACACAGTTAGATGACATTGTACACACAGTTAGATGACATTGTACCCAGGGTTAGATGACATTGTACACACAGTTACATGACATTGTATACAGTTAGATGACATTGTACACACAGTTAGATGACATTGTACCCAGGGTTAGATGACATTGTACACACAGTTAGATGACATTGTACACAGGGTTAGATGACATTGTACACAGGGTTAGGGTTAGATGACATTGTACACAGGGTTAGATGACATTGTACACACATTTTTATACAAGTGCCCAATAATAGAATTTTCTTTAAAAAAGGGACTAAATACACACATTGCTGGTTAATCTCACTACTAACCCTGTCGCTAACCCTAACCCTAGTCCTACCATATGCCTAACCCTAATTTATAACCATAAAATTAGTTGAGATTACAATACTTTTTTGAATACTACTAACAACATAACACACCTATTTTATGGAAGAGTCTATTACCGGACATTGGTATCTAAAATCATCCACAATAAAAAAAACTCCATGTAAAGAAACAGAGGTCACTGACCTTCAGATCACAGAAGCTACCACCATATTTGTCTATTCTACTGAACAGCTCTGGAAACCACAAAAACAAACCATAATATCTGAAAGATAAAAGATAACATCTGAAAGATAAAAGATAACATCTGAAAGATAAAAGATAATATCTGAGAGATAAAAGATAATATCTGAAAGATAAAACTTTAAAAGATAATATCTGAAAGATAAAAGATAATATCTGAAAGATAAAATATAATATCTGAGAGATAAAAGATAATATCTAAAAGATAAAAGATAATATCTGAAAGATAAAAGATAATATCTGAGATAAAAGATAATATCTGAGATAAAAGATAATATCTGAGAGATAAAAGATAATATATGAGAGATAAAAGATAATATCTGAGAGATAAAAGATAATATCTGAAAGATAAAAGATAATATCTGAAAAATAAAAGATAATATCTGAGATAAAAGATAATATCTGAGAGATAAAAGATAACATCTGGAAAATAAAAGATATTTGAAAGATAAAAAGTGAAAGATAAAAGATCATATCTGAAAGATAAAAGGTGAAAGATAAAAGATAATATCTGAAAGAAAAAAGATAAACCATTTGTTCTAAAGCTTAACCTGGGTTCAAACCCAGGGATTCTGTGTCAGACACCCAATCAGCACGTATGATGACAGTTAAAATATGACAGCACAACATAGTGCACGTATGATGACAGTTAAAATATGACAGCACAACATAATGATACGGTGCGTGTATGATGACAGTTAAAATATGATGACAGTTAAAATATGACATCACAACATAATGATACAGTGCGTGTATGATGACAGTTAAAATATGACAGCACAACATAGTCATACAGTGCATGTATGATGACAGTTAAAATATGATGACAGTTAAAATATGATGACAGTTAAAATATGACATCACAACATAGTGATACAGTGCGTGTATGATGACAGCAGAATATAGTGATAAACCAGAGGGAGTTAGCACAGATCAGCATCAAGAAATTTTGATGTGATGGAACACATGAGACACATACATCTCCAGTCATGTCAATGCCACGTAAACAGTCGCATGTAGATTGTGAATATAAATGCCACGTATACAGTCGCATGTAGATTGTGAATATAAAGCCACATATCCAGGTGCATGTGTATATGCATACAGTTTTGAATATTTTTCTATATCTGGCATAGCTTTCAACTTGTGACTGTAGAATGTTAGTGGAAAAAAAAACTATTTTAATCCCTTCAGACTAAGTCTGTCATGCAAAAAAAAGGAATTGGTCGAACGAAAATGTACATTCTAGATTCACATGTTACATTCTAGATTCACAAGTTACATTATAGATTCACATGTTACATTATAGATTCACATGTTACATTCTAGATTCACATGTTACATTCTAGATTCACAGGTTACATTCTAGATTCACATGTTACATTATAGATTCACATGTTACATTATAGATTCACATGTTACATTATAGCATCTTAACTGAATAATCTTGCAAACTACAATGCCAAGTTAAGCAATAAGACAACAAATATTTTTTAAACAGTATTTTTCTTTGAACGCTGTGATGTTGATGCATGGCTCATTTTTTTTATTGAACGCTGTAATGTTGATGCATGGCTCATTTTTTTATTGAATGCTGTAATGTTGATGCATGGCTCATTTTTTTATTGAACGCTGTAATGTTAATGCATGGCTCATTTTTTTATTGAACGCTGTAATGTTGATGCATGGCTCATTTTTTTATTGAATGCTGTAATGTTGATGCATGGCTCATTTTTTTTATTGAACGCTGTAATGTTGATGCATGGCTCATTTTTTTATTGAATGCTGCTGTAATGTTGATGCATGGCTCATTTTTTTATTGAACGCTGTAATGTTAATGCATGGCTCATTTTTTTATTGAACGCTGTAATGTTGATGCATGGCTCATTTTTTTATTGAACGCTGTGATGTTGATGCATGGCTCATTTTTTTATTGAACGCTGTGATGTTGATGCATGGCTCATTTTTTTATTGAAGGCTGTGATGTTGATGCATGGCTCATTTTTTTATTGAAGGCTGTGATGTTGATGCATGGCTCATTTTTTTATTGAAGGCTGTGATGTTGATGCATGGCTCATTTTTTTATTGAAGGCTGTGATGTTGATGCATGGCTCATTTTGTGTACCAGTAGAATATACACCAATAAAATATTTGAATTTGAAAACAGGGTTAAATTAATGTGTATATGAAACTGGTGGGGTTCAGTAAATGTGTATATGAAACTGGTGGGGTTCAGTAAATGTGTATATGAAACTGGTGGGGTTCAGTAAATGTGTATATGAAACTGGTGGGGTTCAGTAAATGTGTATATGAAACTGGTGGGGTTCAGTAAATGTGTATATGAAACTGGTGGGGTTCAGTAAATGTGTATATGAAACTGGTGGGGTTCAGTAAATGTGTATATGAAACTGGTGGGGTTCAGTAAATGTGTATATGAAACTGGTGGGGTTCAGTAAATGTGTATATGAAACTGGTGGGGTTCAGTAAATGTGTATATGAAACTGGTGGGATTTGGTTGCTCCAAAAAGGTTAGGAACCACTGAAAAAATATTATTAGACCATAATAATGGCTGCTATTTAACAGGCCTTGATATAAGTAACAACAGGCAATGACGCAATAGACAATGAGACGTAATACAATGGGCCATGATACAATGGGCCATGATGCAATGGGCCATGATACAATGGGCCATGATACAATGGACAATGGGCCATGATACAATGGACAATGGGCCATGATACAATGGGCCATGATACAATGGGCCATGATACAATGGGCCATGATACAATGGACAATGGGCCATGATACAATGGACAATGGGCCATGATACAATGGGCCATGATACAATGGGCCATGATACAATGGGCCATGATACAATGGACAATGGGCCATGATACAATGGACAATGGGCCATGATACAATGGGCCATGATACAATGGGCCATGATACAATGGACAATGGGCCATGATACAATGGACAATGGGCCATGATACAATGGGCCATGATACAATGGGCCATGATACAATGGGCCATGATACAATGGGCCATGATACAATCGGCCATGATACAATGGGCCATGATACAATGGACAATGGGCCATGATACAATGGGCCATGATACAATGGGCCATGATACAATGGGCCATGATACAATGGACAATGGGCCATGATACAATGGACAATGGGCCATGATACAATGGGCCATGATACAATGGGCCATGATACAATGGGCCATGATACAATGGACAATGGGCCATGATACAATGGACAATGGGCCATGATACAATGGACAATGGGCAGTGATACAATGGGCCATGATACAATGGGCCATGATACAATGGACAATGGGCCATGATACAATGGACAATGGGCCATGATGCAATGGACAATGGGCCATGATACAATGGACAATGGGCCATGATACAATGGACAATGGGCCATGATACAATGGACAATAGGCCATGATACAATGGACAATGGGCCATGACACAAGAAACAACAGATATTGATACACCTAACAACAGGCAGTGATATAATAGAAACAGGCAGTGATATAATAGAAACAGGCAGTGATATAATAGAAACAGCATTACCCAAAAGCTAGAGTAAAATTGATGAGCAATAAAATTAGAGTTGTCCTTCTTAGAGATTTTCCAAATAAATGGATGGTCGATTCAAACAGCTGAAAAGAAAATTGGGTGTAAATCATCTTAACTTTTCAAGCTATACCAGTAGCAAATTGTGTGTAAATAATTTTCAAGTTGTTGAGAAGGTCAGGACAATGGACCAGGACAGCAAAGTTGACCAGGGTAGTTGGGGAGGTCAGGACAATGGACCAGGACATGAAAAGTTGACCAGGATAGTTGGTCAGGACAATGGACCAGGACATGAAAAGTTGACCAGGGTAGTTGGTCAGGACAATGGACCAGGATGTGAAAAGTTGACCAGGGTAGTTGAGAAGATCAGGACAATGGACCAGGACATGAAAAGTTGACCAGGGTAGTTGGTCATGACAATGGACCAGGACATGAAAAGTTGACCAGGGTAGTTGGTCAGGACAATGGACCAGGATGTGAAAAGTTGACCAGGGTAGTTGGTCAGGACAATGGGCCAGGACATGAAAAGTTGACCAGGGTAGTTGGTCAGGACAATGGACCAGGATGTGAAAAGTTGACCAGGATAGTTGGTCAGGACAATGGACCAGGACAGCAAAGTTGACCAGGGTAGTTGGGGAGGTCAGGACAATGGACCAGGACATGAAAAGTTGACCAGGAGAGTTGGTCAGGACAATGGACCAGGATGTGAAAAGTTGACCAGGGTAGTTGGTCAGGACAATGGACCAGGACATGAAAAGTTGAACAGGGTAGTTGGTCAGGACAATGGACCAGGACATATTAAAGTTGACCAGGGTAGTTGAGAAGGTCAGGACAATGGACCAGGACATGAAAAGTTGACCAGGATAGTTGGTCAGGACAATGGACCAGGATGTGAAAAGTTGACAAGGGTAGTTGGTCAGGACAATGGACCAGGACATGAAAAGTTGACCAGGGTAGTTGGTCAGGACAATGGACCAGGATGTGAAAAGTTGACCAGGGTAGTTGGTCAGGACAATGGACCAGGATGTGAAAAGTTGACCAGGATAGTTGGTCAGGACAATGGACCAGGACATGAAAAGTTGACCAGGATAGTTGGTCAGGACAATGGACCAGGATGTGAAAAGTTGACCAGGGTAGTTGGTCAGGACAATGGACCAGGATGTGAAAAGTTGACCAGGGTAGTTGGTCAGGACAATGGACCAGGATGTGAAAAGTTGACCAGGGTAGTTGGTCAGGACAATGGACCAGGACAGCAAAGTTGACCAGGGTAGTTGAGAAGGTCAGGACAATGGACCAGGATGTGAAAAGTTGACCAGGGTAGTTGGTCAGGACAATGGACCAGGACATGAAAAGTTGACCAGGGTAGTTGGTCAGGACAATGGACCAGGATGTGAAAAGTTGACCAGGGTAGTTGGTCAGGACAATGGACCAGGATGTGAAAAGTTGACCAGGGTAGTTGGTCAGGACAATGGACCAGGACAGCAAAGTTGACCAGGGTAGTTGAGAAGGTCAGGACAATGGACCAGGATGTGAAAAGTTGACCAGGGTAGTTGGTCAGGACAATGGACCAGGACATGAAAAGTTGACCATGGTAGTTGGTCAGGACAATGGACCAGGACATGAAAAGTTGACCAGGGTAGTTGAGAAGGTCAGGACAATGGACCAGGACATGAAAAGTTGACCAGGGTAGTTGGTCAGGACAATGGACCAGGACATGAAAAGTTGACCAGGGTAGTTGGTCAGGACAATGGACCAGGACATGAAAAGTTGACCAGGGTAGTTGGTCAGGACAATGGACCAGGACATATTAAAGTTGACCAGGGTAGTTGAGAAGGTCAGGACAATGGACCAGGATGTGAAAAGTTGACCAGGGTAGTTGGTCAGGACAATGGACCAGGACATGAAAAGTTGACCAGGGTAGTTGGTCAGGACAATGGACCAGGACATGAAAAGTTGACCAGGGTAGTTGGTCAGGACAATGGACCAGGATGTGAAAAGTTGACCAGGGTAGTTGGTCAGGACAATGGACCAGGACATGAAAAGTTGACCAGGATAGTTGGTCAGGACAATGGACCAGGACATGAAAAGTTGACCAGGGTAGTTGGTCAGGACAATGGACCAGGATGTGAAAAGTTGACCAGGGTAGTTGGTCAGGACAATGGACCAGGACATGAAAAGTTGACCAGGGTAGTTGAGAAGGTCAGGACAATGGACCAGGACATGAAAAGTTGACCAGGGTAGTTGGTCAGGACAATGGACCAGGATGTGAAAAGTTGACCAGGGTAGTTGGTCAGGACAATGGACCAGGACATGAAAAGTTGACCAGGATAGTTGGTCAGGACAATGGACCAGGACATGAAAAGTTGACCAGGGTAGTTGGTCAGGACAATGGACCAGGATGTGAAAAGTTGACCAGGGTAGTTGGTCAGGACAATGGACCAGGACATGAAAAGTTGACCAGGGTAGTTGAGAAGGTCAGGACAATGGACCAGGACATGAAAAGTTGACCAGGGTAGTTGAGAAGGTCAGGACAATGGACCAGGACATGAAAAGTTGACCAGGGTAGTTGGTCAGGACAATGGACCAGGATGTGAAAAGTTGACCAGGATAGTTGGTCAGGACAATGGACCAGGACATGAAAAGTTGACCAGGGTAGTTGGTCAGGACAATGGACCAGGACATGAAAAGTTGACCAGGATAGTTGGTCAGGACAATGGACCAGGACATGAAAAGTTGACCAGGGTAGTTGGTCAGGACAATGGACCAGGATGTGAAAAGTCTTCAAGATGTTTCATTTAGGAAACTACCTTAAAGATGGTGTACTTGACCCTCCATCCAGGATGACCAGTACGTTTGACATGAAATCCAACAGCCATATAGGTGTCTTTGTCTTCTTCTGCCAGCACTAGGGCCTCAAGCTGTGTACATGGAAGACAATGGTGGTATGAAGGTGTTGTAATGGTGGTCTGAAGGTGTTGTAATGGTGGTCTGAAGGTGTTGTAATGGTGGTCTGAAGGTGTTGTAATGGTGGTCTGAAGGTGTTGTAATGGTGGTCTGAAGGTGTTTTGATGGTGGTCTGAAGGTGTTGTAATGGTGGTCTGAAGGTGTTGTAATGGTGGTCTGAAGGTGTTTTGATGGTGGTCTGAAGGTGTTGTAATGGTGGTCTGAAGGTGTTGTAATGGTGGTCTGAAGGTGTTGTGATGGTGGTCTGAAGGTGTTTTAGTGTTGAAAAAATGATGCAACTAAAAAGGACCTTACCTGGAATGTTGTTGTCAGTTTGTTGCCTGAGTGCACTTGTGACAAAACTGCAATGGCCTCCTGCTCTTTACCTATCTGAAAGGTCAACACACACAATTTTCTTCATGATAAGGTTCACTAACTCATTAATGTAGGCAATCTAATTGATTCTGTGATTTAAAAAAAAACTGAATCTACCCAAGTTAATCCACACACACCTGAATCTACCCAAGTTAAACCACACCTGAATCTACCAAAGTTAAACCACACCTGAATCTACCAAAGTTAAACCACACCTGAATCTACCCAAGTTAATCCACACACACATGAATCTACCCAAGTTAAACCACACCTGAATCTACCCAAGTTAAACCACACCTGAATCTACCCAAGTTAAACCACACCTGAATCTCCCCAAGTTAAACCACACCTGAATCTCCCCAAGTTAAACCACACCTGAATCTACCCAAGTTAAACCACACCTGAATCTCCCCAAGTTAAACCACACCTGAATCTACCCAAGTTAAACCACACCTGAATCTACCCAATTTAAACCACACCTGAATCTACCCTAGTTAAACCACACCTGAATCTACCCAAGTTAAACCACACCCGAATCTACCCAAGTTAAACCACACCTGAATCTACCCAAGTTAAACCACACCTGAATCTACCCAAGTTAAACCACACCCGAATCTACCCAAGTTAAACCACACCCGAATCTACCCAAGTTAAACCACACCTGAATCTACCCAAGTTAAACCACACCCGAATCTACCCAAGTTAAACCACACCTGAATCTACCCAAGTTAAACCACACCTGAATCTACCCAAGTTAAACCACACCAGATAAAGTGAGTCACCTGCAACAAAAACTTGGGGCTCTCTGGCATGAGTACAAAGATGGCCGCTGATGTGAGACTAGGGACTGTGCACAGGGCCACAAACACGCGCCAGCTGTGGAAGCTGAAGCTGTCGGAGCTCACACTCAGATACTCTCTGGGGATGACCACCCATGCTAGACCTGGGGACAGATAAACTCAGATACTCTCTGGGGATGACCACCCATGCTAGACCTGGGGACAGATAAACTCAGATACTCTCTGGGGATGACCACCCATGCTAGACCTGGGGACAGATAAACTCAGATACTCTCTGGGGATGACCACCCATGCTAGACCTGGGAACAGATAAACTCAGATACTCTCTGGGGATGACCACCCATGCTAGACCTGGGGACAGATAAACTCAGATACTCTCTGGGGATGACCACCCATGCTAGACCTGGGGACAGATAAACTCAGATACTCTCTGGGGATGACCACCCATGCTAGACCTGGGGACAGATAAACTCAGATACTCTCTGGGGATGACCACCCATGCTAGACCTGGGGACAGATAAACTCAGATACTCTCTGGGGATGACCACCCATGCTAGACCTGGGGACAGATAAACTCAGATACTCTCTGGGGATGACCACCCATGCTAGACCTGGGGACAGATAAACTCAGATACTCTCTGGGGATGACCACCCATGCTAGACCTGGGGACAGATAAACTCAGATACTCTCTGGTGATGACCACCCATGCTAGACCTGGGGACAGATAAACTCAGATACTCTCTGGGGATGACCACCCATGCTAGACCTGGGGACAGATAAACTCAGATACTCTCTGGGGATGACCACCCATGCTAGACCTGGGGACAGATAAACTCAGATACTCTCTGGGGATGACCACCCATGCTAGACCTGGGGACAGATAAACTCAGATACTCTCTGGGGATGACCACCCATGCTAGACCTGGGGACAGATAAACTCAGATACTCTCTGGGGATGACCACCCATGCTAGACCTGGGGACAGATAAACTCAGATACTCTCTGGGGATGACCACCCATGCTAGACCTGGGGACAGATAAACTCAGATACTCTCTGGGGATGACCACCCATGCTAGACCTGGGGACAGATAAACTCAGATACTCTCTGGGGATGACCACCCATGCTAGACCTGGGGACAGATAAACTCAGATACTCTCTGGGGATGACCACCCATGCTAGACCTGGGGACAGATAAACTCAGATACTCTCTGGGGATGACCACCCATGCTAGACCTGGGAACAGATAAACTCAGATACTCTCTGGGGATGACCACCCATGCTAGACCTGGGGACAGATAAACTCAGATACTCTCTGGGGATGACCACCCATGCTAGACCTGGGGACAGATAAACTCAGATACTCTCTTGGATGTTGCCTACCTGCAGCTATGATGTTTCCTACCTGCAGCTATGATGTTTCCTACCTGCAGCTATGATGTTTCCTACCTGCAGCTATGATGTTGCCTACCTGCAGCTATGATGTTGCCTACCTGCAGCTATGATGTTGCCTACCTGCAGCTATGATGTTGCCTACCTGCAGCTATGATGTTGCCTACCTGCAGCTATGATGTTGCCTGCCATCCAAAAAGTGGCCAGGACGCTAATCATAGCCCCACGCCTAGACTTGTGTTGGAACTCTGTGTAGTAGGTGAAAACAACAGGCATGCTGCCCCCTACACTGTTGATAGACAAGCACATTATCACAGCTAGTCATACAGGTAGTGGGTTAGGGTAGACAAGCACATTATCACTGCTAGTCATACAGGTAGTGGGTTAGGGTTAGGGTAGACAAGCACATTATCACAGCTAGTCATACAGGTGGTGGGTTAGGGTAGACAAGCACATTATCACAGCTAGTCATACAGGTAGTGGGTTAGGGTTAGGGTAGACAAGCACATTATCACAGCTAGTCATACAGGTGGTGGGTTAGGGTAGACAAGCACATTATCACAGCTAGTCATACAGGTGGTGGGTTAGGGTAGACAAGCACATTATCACCGCTAGTCATACAGGTAGTGGGTTAGGGTTAGGGTAGACAAGCACATTATCACCGCTAGTCATACAGGTAGTGGGTTAGGGTTAGGGTAGACAAGCACATTATCACCGCTAGTCATACAGGTAGTGGGTTAGGGTAGACAAGCACATTATCACCGCTAGTCATACAGGTAGTGGGTTAGGGTTAGGGTAGACAAGCACATTATCACCGCTAGTCATACAGGTGGTGGGTTAGGGTAGACAAGCACATTATCACAGCTAGTCATACAGGTAGTGGGTTAGGGGTGGGGTAGACAAGCACATTATCACCGCTAGTCATACAGGTGGTGGGTTAGGGTAGACAAGCACATTATCACAGCTAGTCATACAGGTAGTGGGTTAGGGTTAGGGTAGACAAGCACATTATCACCGCTAGTCATACAGGTGGTGGGTTAGGGTAGACAAGCACATTATCACAGCTAGTCATACAGGTGGTGGGTTAGGGTTAGGGTAGACAAGCACATTATCACAGCTAGTCATACAGTTAGTGGGTTAGGGTTAGGGTAGACAAGCACATTATCACAGCTAGTCATACAGGTGGTGGGTTAGGGTTAGGGTAGACAAGCACATTATCACCGCTAGTCATACAGGTGGTGGGTTAGGGTAGACAAGCACATTATCACCGCTAGTCATACAGGTAGTGGGTTAGGGTTAGGGTAGACAAGCACATTATCACAGCTAGTCATACAGGTAGTGGGTTAGGGTAGACAAGCACATTATCACCGCTAGTCATACAGGTAGTGGGTTAGGGTAGACAAGCACATTATCACCGCTAGTCATACAGGTAGTGGGTTAGGGTTAGGGTAGACAAGCACATTATCACCGCTAGTCATACAGGTAGTGGGTTAGGGTAGACAAGCACATTATCACCGCTAGTCATACAGGTAGTGGGTTAGGGTAGACAAGCACATTATCACCGCTAGTCATACAGGTAGTGGGTTAGGGTTAGGGTAGACAAGCACATTATCACCGCTAGTCATACAGGTGGTGGGTTAGGGTAGACAAGCACATTATCACCGCTAGTCATACAGGTAGTGGGTTAGGGTTAGGGTAGACAAGCACATTATCACCGCTAGTCATACAGGTAGTGGGTTAGGGTTAGGGTAGACAAGCACATTATCACCGCTAGTCATACAGGTGGTGGGTTAGGGTTAGGGTAGACAAGCACATTATCACCGCTAGTCATACAGGTAGTGGGTTAGGGTTAGGGTAGACAAGCACATTATCACAGCTAGTCATACAGGTGGTGGGTTAGGGTAGACAAGCACATTATCACCGCTAGTCATACAGGTAGTGGGTTAGGGTAGACAAGCACATTATCACAGCTAGTCATACAGGTAGTGGGTTAGGGTAGACAAGCACATTATCACAGCTAGTCATACAGGTGGTGGGTTAGGGTAGACAAGCACATTATCACCGCTAGTCATACAGGTAGTGGGTTAGGGTTAGGGTAGACAAGCACATTATCACCGCTAGTCATACAGGTGGTGGGTTAGGGTTAGGGTAGACAAGCACATTATCACCGCTAGTCATACAGGTGGTGGGTTAGGGTTAGGGTAGACAAGCACATTATCACCGCCAGTCATACAGGTGGTGGGTTAGGGTTAGGGTAGACAAGCACATTATCACCGCTAGTCATACAGTTAGTGGGTTAGGGTTAGGGTAGACAAGCACATTATCACAGCTAGTCATACAGGTAGTGGGTTAGGGTAGACAAGCACATTATCACAGCTAGTCATACAGGTAGTGGGTTAGGGTAGACAAGCACATTATCACAGCTAGTCATACAGGTGGTGGGTTAGGGTTAGGGTAGACAAGCACATTATCACCGCTAGTCATACAGGTGGTGGGTTAGGGTTAGGGTAGACAAGCACATTATCACCGCTAGTCATACAGGTAGTAGGTTAGGGGTGGGGTAAAACATACCGGATACCACTGACAAATCTACAGATAGCTCTATAAAGCCATGTTAAAACTTACCCTATACCACTGACAAATCTACAGATAGCTCTATAAAGCCATGTTAAAACTTACCCTATACCACTGACAAATCTACAGATAGCTCTATAAAGCCATGTTAAAACTTACCCTATACCACTGACAAATCTACAGATAGCTATATAAAGCCATGTTAAAACTTACCCGATACCTTTGACAAATCTATAGATAGCTCTATAAAGCCATGTTAAAACTTACCCTATACCACTGACAAATCTACAGATAGCTCTATAAAGCCATGTTAAAACTTACCCTATACCACTGACAAATCTACAGATAGCTCTATAAAGCCATGTTAAAACTTACCCTATACCACTGACAAATCTATAGATAGCTCTATAAAGCCATGTTAAAACTTACCCTATACCACTGACAAATCTACAGATAGCTCTATAAAGCCATGTTAAAACTTACCCTATACCACTGACAAATCTACAGATAGCTCTATAAAGCCATGTTAAAACTTACCCTATACCACTGACAAATCTACAGATAGCTCTATAAAGCCATGTTAAAACTTACCCTATACCACTGACAAATCTACAGATAGCTCTATAAAGCCATGTTAAAACTTACCCTATACCACTGACAAATCTACAGATAGCTCTATAAAGCCATGTTAAAACTTACCCTATACCACTGACAAATCTACAGATAGCTCTATAAAGCCATGTTAAAACTTACCCTATACCACTGACAAATCTACAGATAGCTCTATAAAGCCATGTTAAAACTTACCCTATGCCACTGACAAATCTACAGATAGCTCTATAAAGCCATGTTAAAACTTACCCTATGCCACTGACAAATCTACAGATAGCTCTATAAAGCCATGTTAAAACTTACCCTATACCACTGACAAATCTACAGATAGCTCTATAAAGCCATGTTAAAACTTACCCTATACCACTGACAAATCTACAGATAGCTCTATAAAGCCATGTTAAAACTTACCCTATGCCACTGACAAATCTACAGACCAGGAAGAGCCAAAAGGTCTGTGAGACGCTGGAGCCAAGATTTCCCAGGCCATTGACCAACAGTGACCAGACCAGAATGTTGCGACGTCCCCACTTGTCTGCCAGAGACCCCCACACATAGCCCCCCACCAGCATACCTGGAAAACATGGCTATAGGTTAACATTTGACTAGACCCCCACCAGCATACCTGGAAAACATGGCTATAGGTTAACATTTGACTAGACCCCCACCAGCATACCTAAAGAAAACATGGCTATAGGTTATCATTTGACTAGACCCCCACCAGTATACCTGGAAAACATGGCTATAGGTTAACATTTGACTAGACCCCCACCAGCATACCTGGAAAACATGGCTATAGGTTAACATTTGACTAGACCCCCACTAGCATACCTAAAGAAAACATGGCTATAGGTTAACATTTGACTAGACCCCCACCAGCATACCTGGAAAACATGACTATAGGTTAACATTTGACTAGACCCCCCCCCCCCCCCAGCATACCTGGAAAACATGGCTATAGGTTAACATTTGACTAGACCCCCACCAGCATACCTAAAGAAAACATGGCTATAGGTTAACATTTGACTAGACCCCCACCAGCATACCTGGAAAACATGGCTATAGGTTAACATTTGACTAGACCCCCACCAGCATACCTAAAGAAAACATGGCTATAGGTTAACATTTGACTAGACCCCCACCAGCATACCTGGAAAACATGGCTATAGGTTAACATTTGACTAGACCCCCACCAGCATACCTAAAGAAAACATGGCTATAGGTTAACATTTGACTAGACCCCCAACCAGCATATCTAAAGAAAACATGACTATAGGTTAACATTTGACTAGACCCCCACCAGCATACCTAAAGAAAACATGGCTATAGGTTAACATTTGACTAGACCCCCACCAGCATACCTAAAGAAAACATGGCTATAGGTTAACATTTGACTAGACCCCCACCAGCATACCTGGAAAACATGGCTATAGGTTAACATTTGACTAGACCCCCACCAGCATACCTAAAGAAAACATGGCTATAGGTTAACATTTGACTAGACCCCCACCAGCATACCTGGAAAACATGGCTATAGGTTAACATTTGACTAGACCCCCACCAGCATACCTGGAAAACATGGCTATAGGTTAACATTTGACTAGACCCCCACCAGTATACCTAAAGAAAACATGGCTATAGGTTAACATTTGACTAGACCCCCACCAGCATACCTAAAGAAAACATGGCTATAGGTTAACATTTGACTAGACCCCCACCAGCATACCTGGAAAACATGGCTATAGGTTAACATTTGACTAGACCCCCACCAGCATACCTGGAAAACATGGCTATAGGTTAACATTTGACTAGACCCCCACCAGCATACCTAAAGAAAACATGGCTATAGGTTAACATTTGACTAGACTCCCACCAGCATACCTGGAAAACATGACTTTAGGTTAACATTTGACTAGACCCCCACCAGCATACCTGGAAAACATGGCTATAGGTTAACATTTGACTAGACCCCCACCAGCATACCTAAAGAAAACATGGCTATAGGTTAACATTTGACTAGACCCCCACCAGCATACATGGAAAACATGACTATAGGTTAACATTTGACTAGACCCCCACCAGCATGCCTGGAAAACATGGCTATAGGTTAACATTTGACTAGACCCCCACCAGCATACCTGGAAAACATGGCTATAGGTTAACATTTGACTAGACCCCCACCAGCATACCTGGAAAACATGGCTATAGGTTAACATTTGACTAGACCCCCACCAGCATACCTAAAGAAAACATGGCTATAGGTTAACATTTGACTAGACCCCCACCAGCATACCTGGAAAACATGGCTATAGGTTAACATTTGACTAGACCCCCACCAGCATACCTGGAAAACATGGCTATAGGTTAACATTTGACTAGACCCCCACCAGCATACCTAAAGAAAACATGGCTATAGGTTAACATTTGACTAGACCCCCACCAGCATACCTGGAAAACATGGCTATAGGTTAACATTTGACTAGACCCCCACCAGCATACCTGGAAAACATGGCTATAAGTTAACATTTGACTAGACCCCCACCAGCATACCTGGAAAACATGGCTATAGGTTAACATTTGACTAGACCCCCACCAGCATACCTGGAAAACATGGCTATAGGTTAACATTTGACTAGACTCCCACCAGCATACCTGGAAAACATGGCTATAGGTTAACATTTGACTAGACCCCCACCAGCATACCTGAAAACATGGCTATAGGTTAACAATTGACTAGACCCCCACCAGCATACCTAAAGAAAACATGGCTATAGGTTAACATTTGACTAGACCCCCACCAGCATACCTGGAAAACATGGCTATAGGTTAACATTTGACTAGACCCCCACCAGCATACCTGGAAAACATGGCTATAGGTTAACATTTGACTAGACCCCCACCAGCATACCTAAAGAAAACATGGCTATAGGTTAACATTTGACTAGACCCCCACCAGCATACCTGGAAAACATGGCTATAGGTTAACATTTGACTAGACCCCCACCAGCATACCTGGAAAACATGGCTATAGGTTAACATTTGACTAGACCCCCACCAGCATACCTGGAAAACATGGCTATAGGTTAACATTTGACTAGCCCCCCACCAGCATACCTGGAAAACATGGCTATAGGTTAACATTTGACTAGACCCCCACCAGCATACCTAAAGAAAACATGGCTATAGGTTAACATTTGACTAGACCCCCACCAGCATACCTGGAAAACATGGCTATAGGTTAACATTTGACTAGACCCCCACCAGCATACCTGGAAAACATGGCTATAGGTTAACATTTGACTAGCCCCCCACCAGCATACCTGGAAAACATGGCTATAGGTTAACATTTGACTAGACCCCCACCAGCATACCTAAAGAAAACATGGCTATAGGTTAACATTTGACTAGACCCCCACCAGCATACCTGGAAAACATGGCTATAGGTTAACATTTGACTAGACCCCCCCCAGCATACCTGGAAAACATGGCTATAGGTTAACATTTGACTAGACCCCCACTAGCATACCTAAAGAAAACATGGCTATAGGTTAACATTTGACTAGACCCCCACCAGCATACCTGAAAACATGGCTATAGGTTAACATTTGACTAGACCCCCCCCCCAGGATACCTGGAAAACATGGCTATAGGTTAACATTTGACTAGACCCCCACCAGCATACCTGGAAAACATGGCTATACGTTAACATTTGACTAGACCCCCACCAGCATACCTAAAGAAAACATGGCTATAGGTTAACATTTGACTAGACTCCCACCAGCATACCTGGAAAACATGGCTATAGGTTAACATTTGACTAGACCCCCACCAGCATACCTAAAGAAAACATGGCTATAGGTTAACATTTGACTAGACCCCCACCAGCATACCTGGAAAACATGGCTATAGGTTAACATTTGACTAGACCCCCACCGGCATACCTAAAGAAAACATGGCTATAGGTTAACATTTGACTAGACTCCCACCAGCATACCTGGAAAACATGGCTATAGGTTAACATTTGACTAGACCCCCACCAGCATACCTAAAGAAAACATGGCTATAGGTTAACATTTGACTAGACCCCCACCAGCATACCTGGAAAACATGGCTATAGGTTAACATTTGACTAGACTCCCACCAGCATACCTGGAAAACATGGCTATAGGTTAACATTTGACTAGACCCCCACCAGCATACCTAAAGAAAACATGGCTATAGGTTAACATTTGACTAGACCCCCACCAGCATACCTAAAGAAAACATGGCTATAGGTTAACATTTGACTAGACTCCCACCAGCATACCTGGAAAACATGGCTATAGGTTAACATTTGACTAGACCCCCACCAGCATACCTAAAGAAAACATGGCTATAGGTTAACATTTGACTAGACCCCCCACCAGCATACCTAAAGAAAACATGGCTATAGGTTAACATTTGACTAGACCCCCACCAGCATACCTTAAGAAAACATGGCTATAGGTTAACATTTGACTAGACCCCCCACCAGCATACCTGGAAAACATGGCTATAGGTTAACATTTGACTAGACCCCCACCAGCATACCTAAAGAAAACATGGCTATAGGTTAACATTTGACTAGACCCCCACCAGCATACCTGGAAAACATGGCTATAGGTTAACATTTGACTAGACCCCCACCAGCATACCTGGAAAACATGGCTATAGGTTAACATTTGACTAGACTCCCACCAGCATACCTGGAAAACATGGCTATAGGTTAACATTTGACTAGACCCCCACCAGCATACCTAAAGAAAACATGGCTATAGGTTAACATTTGACTAGACTCCCACCAGCATACCTAAAGAAAACATGGCTATAGGTTAACATTTGACTAGACTCCCACCAGCATACCTGGAAAACATGGCTATAGGTTAACATTTGACTAGACCCCCACCAGCATACCTAAAGAAAACATGGCTATAGGTTAACATTTGACTAGACCCCCACCAGCATACCTAAAGAAAACATGGCTATAGGTTAACATTTGACTAGACCCCCACCAGCATACCTGGAAAACATGGCTATAGGTTAACATTTGACTAGACCCCCACCAGCATACCTGGAAAACATGGCTATAGGTTAACATTTGACTAGACCCCCACTAGCATACCTAAAGAAAACATGGCTATAGGTTAACATTTGACTAGACCCCCACCAGCATACCTGGAAAACATGACTATAGGTTAACATTTGACTAGACCCCCCCCCCCCCCAGCATACCTGGAAAACATGGCTATAGGTTAACATTTGACTAGACCCCCACCAGCATACCTAAAGAAAACATGGCTATAGGTTAACATTTGACTAGACCCCCACCAGCATACCTGGAAAACATGGCTATAGGTTAACATTTGACTAGACCCCCACCAGCATACCTAAAGAAAACATGGCTATAGGTTAACATTTGACTAGACTCCCACCAGCATACCTGGAAAACATGGCTATAGGTTAACATTTGACTAGACCCCCACCAGCATACCTAAAGAAAACATGGCTATAGGTTAACATTTGACTAGACCCCCACCAGCATACCTAAAGAAAACA